AAAATATATTTTGCAGAATACAGACCAGTATCATCATTTAAAACGAAGATGCCCCGATTGAAATTTCCATACCTGGTCAAGGAAACGAGTACATTGACTTGCGGAGGAGTCGCTTATACGCAAAATGCAAAATCGTTAAATCAGACGGATCACCATTAGCAGCCCAGGAGAAAACTGGAATCGTTAATCTCCCTTTGCAATCACTATGGTCCCAGATAGACACATATATGAACGGAAAGTTAGTGTCTCTGAACACTAGTTATTACCCATGGAAAGCTTATTTAAAAATTATCTTGTCCAGTGGCACCGATGTCTCAGACTCGCAATTACAATCTCAACTATTTTTCTTAGACGATGCAACGATGGACGATGGGAATGCATACGGTGGAACAAACGGCGGTTTGGCAAAGCGGTATACATTTACACAACAGAGCAGAGTGTTTGATTTAGAAGGGCCTTTGTACGAGGACATTTTCCGTTTAGATAACTACATATTAAATGGTGTCGACATAAACCTAAAATTATTTCGTAACCGAGCACCCTTCCTTGTAATGAGTGCAGAATCTTCTCCAGCATACAAAGTGGAACTGATAGATGTATCATTTAAGGCATGTATGATTAAAGTGGACAGTGGTGTTTTAATCAATCATGCAGAAATATTGAAAGATATCACTGCAAAATACCCCTTAGTGAGAACAGAGGTGAAAATGAACACGTGTCCCAAGGGATCAGGGAGTTTTATCTGGCAGAATGTATGGTCCAATAATCTATCAACGAAGGCGTATTTTGCCTTCATATCGCAAGCTGCCGTGAATGGTGACTACTCAAAAAACATTTTTAATTTCAAAAATTTAGCAGAAGATATTACAGTGTACGTGAACGGTGAAAGCATTCCTGCAAGACCCATGAAGGTTGACATCGGAGCCAATAAGAATTACGTCACACCATTCGTGAATCTTTTTGAAGTGGCCGAAAAATGGAACAAAGACGCTGGCCTCAAAATTACAAGATCAATGTTTGACGCAGGGTATGCTGTGTATGCTTTCAGTCTAGCCCCAAGTGGCCTTGGAGAAGCCTATTTAAACTTGATTCGCCAGAGAAGCGTCAGATTAGAAGTAAAATTTGCGGCTAATACAACAGAGACGCTTAACTGTTTAGCTTATGCAGAATTTCCGGCTTTAATCGAGATAGATCATTCCAGAGATATCAAGTATACCCGAGTATGAATTCCCAAGAAAAAATCTATAGTCCCCTCCGGTTTCACCGGTAGGGGACTAATAAGAGCATTTACTGCACGAAACAGACACGTATCAAACGTGACAGGAGGAGTATTTGCTTCCAACACTTTACCTGAATCAGTACCCATTTACCCTTCTGCTTACATATGTAACACCGACCATTCACATCTGCCGGGAACGCACTGGGTGGTGCTTTGGATTCACAGCGAGAAATACGCAGAATTTTACGACAGTTTTGGAAAGTCTCCACGCCACTATGGGGAATCGTTTGATGTTTTTATCCGAAACAATTGTGATGTGTGTATGTACAATAATGTTCCCATTCAAAACAAGGACAGTGACACGTGTGATTATCATGTATTGTTCTATTTGTGGATAAAATGTTATAATTATTCGTTGCCTCAAATTGTACATATATTACAAAGAAATAATAATCCAGACAAGTATGTCCAAGAATTTGTCAATAAATATTATTGAAATAAAGAAAAAGTCTTTTTTGTTAAAAAAAAAAATACAATTTTTATGACATAAGAGACTCGTCATGTCACGTCAGTGAGCAGTTGATATCAGACATTGGAAGAGGAAACAACTACAATGCACTGGTGGAAAGGAAAATCTCTTTTACCGTTTCGGTCACCTACAACCTGTCATGTATCGGGTGCAACGATGTCTGGAAAAACACATTTTATATATCGTATATTATTAAATGCAGGGGGGATGTTTGAGATACATCCTCAAAAAATTATATATTGTTATAGTCAGTATCAGCCCCTCTTTGAAGAAATGGAACAAAAGATATCTGATCTTGTCTAATTTCACGGATTACCTTCAAAAGATCAAATAGAAGAATGGGCGGAGGGCTCCACACATACGGTGTTAATTTTGGATGATTTAATGACTCAAGTGTCAAAAAGCGAGGAAGCAGTGGCGATTTTCAGCATCACTGCACATCATAAGAATTGCACAGTGTTCTTCTTGACACAAAATCTATTCGTGGAGTCCAAACATTTTCGCAGTTTATCATTAAATTGTCATTACATAATATTATTTCGTTCTTTAAGAGATTCGAGACAGATATTGTCATTCGGATCTCAAGTGTATCCGGGTCAAACTGCCTATTTTAAAGATGCATATCAAAAAGCAACATCCAAACCGTAAGGCTATTTACTCGTTGATATGAATCCTGCTACCGAAGACAGATATAGACTGCGCACGCACATATTTCCGGATGAAGACACTATAATATTTTCTCCCAAATAAGTAATAGAGACAGAATTTTTATATCGTTTTTGGAGAACCATGAGTCAACTGGTAACATCAAATGCTTCTTTCATCAAGGTGTTATACTCTGCCGATCCGAAGCAAAGAAAAGCATTATTAAAGACTATGACAGAAAATCAACAGCAGGCATTGTGTGAAATAATCCTAAACGTCTACAAGGGAACTTTTCCACTCTCAAAGTATTATATTAAAAGACTGCTTCCGTATCAGAACGCCATTCATTCTCTCAGCAGTAAGAAGGTAAAGAAGAGTGTCAAACGGAAAATTCTGTTACAAAAACATTTAGCACTTCCTATCTTAAAACCGGTACTGAGTGTGCTGAATGATGGCTCGGGAATTAATTCTAATACCAAGAGAAAAGTGTAACATGATGTTAAAGGAGAAAGAGCCAACAATTGTGAAGAATATGAACCATGATGAAGTTTTACCAGTCGCGGCAAAGAAGACGAAACAAAGACAGGTCATTAAAAGATTACCAGTCGCCGCACACACACAGAAAACGGAAAAGAAGACGAAACAAGGACAGGTCATTAAAAGACAACGTGGACAAGGATTTATTGTGAAACAAACAACAGATGGACCTCCTCCCGGACTTAATCATCGTGACAAATTACGACAAAAGAAGGAAAGAAAAACAAAAAAGACTCGTGTACAATGGCTCAAACTTTAATATATATGACTGTTTCACAAAGGTGTTTTTCGAATAACTATAACATATATTGTGCGTTCTTTGTATAAAACAATAAAAGAAAAAAATGTAACTGTGATTATATAGAGGTTAATAGCCAAAGGGTAATGTATCATAAGAGTCCTTTTGCATTGCTCGTTTGGAATACACAAGCTGATATTGTTTGTTTTCTACACTATTGTAAACTTTAACAGAACGTTTAGCTCTAGTAATTTTTTGAGGGTTAGTGACAGTCAATGTTTTGCTCTGATCACCTGTTACAATATCTAACATGGATGTTAAGTTCAAGGATTGCGCATTTTTATAATTTAAAGAAAACCCACGAATGCGACAAACCTGTTGACCTTTAAACGTATTAAAGGCATAATTTTTTGGTCCACCGGACACGAATTCCGTGATGTAATCATCAGTAGACAATTCATTAGTCAATTGACCTAGATAAGGATCTAAGCGTTTACCCGGAAACCACCCCAATACTTCACTTTGACGACTAATTTTAACTTTAAGTTCTTCTTGCAAAAATTTAGTTTTATAGACCGACATGCATACACTAGCAATGGTAATATGATTAAAGGGGTCAACACTACCCTTTAAGTAAAATTCTATATTTCCGTCTTCATTCAAGTCAAAATCAACTTTACCCGTTATGTTCATTAAGATATCTCTAAACTTCAAACAGGCTTGACGAAGGATATCTACGTCACTACGACAATAATCAACGATTTCCTTCGCAAAATCAAATATTTCCCGACTTTCAATTTAAGACCGATGCCACGTCAAGAAGGCACTGCGATCTTTGTCACTCATAGTGTCACATCCGTACTGATTAACGTCTGGGTAACAGCCAACGTAAGTTTGTACTGGGGGGTATTAAAAAAATGAGGAAAATAGCCTTTTTTAGCTCCTATAAATCAAAAGCTTTGGGCAACTGCGATAATTTGGTCGGTAAAAAATTATACGAATCGATGACTCGAATGTTTAATTCATTTGCCACCTGGATATACATGATTTTTGAACCCGAATAGATGACCTGAGGAACAATAGAATTTGCAATGAGATACTCTAGCAAAAAATATTCGTCGTAACCTTTCATATTATGAGCAATAACGGTGTAATGTTTGTTCTGCTCCGAAAAAAGCCACGGACCAAATTTTCTCTGTACGTTTTCCCCGCGAAAAACAACTTCACGAAAACCGCAGGTCTCTTGACAAGGATTCTTTCTAAAACATTTATTTTCTTTATCGTAATGGTTACACTGGGGACATCGCGTTCCGCAGAAGTGACATTTCGAGATCGGAGAAACGTTTTCATCGACACACATATCACAGACCTTTTGTGCGATAACTAAATTTGGGACGTGTTCAAATTTTCCACAGTGAGACTGTTGATAATTTGAACAGAGCGAACACAAGTCCGTTTCATTTTTACAGATTTTACATCTAGCTGCATCGTGATTATATCCGTCAGAGCACTGTAAGATGCGTGCGCTTTGTGTGCATTCAAAATCGAAAAAAATGAAATTTGGCTTTGATTTTTTTGCTTTCAGTTGCACGAATGTAGCACAAATGTGTAGAGTCTACATATTTACCACAACTTTTGCACAACCACTCAGCACACACGTGTTCATTTGGGTCTCTCACCTTTCGATCTATTACTTTCATACACGTCACACATTTCCACCGCCGATAACACGACGACTCTTTTCTTCTACCTTGAGGTTGTAAGTGACTTTCGTAACATGATGAAGATCGGCATGTCATGTGACAATTTTTACAAGATAACTGAACATCGGATACTCTACACCGTTGTTTTCTCTTGCAAACATAACAGGCAGACTCGCACTGATGTAAATTTCTGTAAGGGATTAAACAATCAGAGCAAAACTTGGACTTGCCAAAAAAACCACAGATGTTTACAATAGCATCAAAATGAGAAGTTTTTTTTTATCTGGGTCTTCAACCAAATGTAAATAAAGACGTTGTTTTTGAATTCCTTCAGGGGGAGTCTTAATAAATTTGTTTCCTCCGACAGCCCTTATAACTAAGATGTCTACATTTAAAAACTGTTCAAAAGCATCGATATCTGATAGAGCTAACGGTCGGTTTGTTGGTGTACCTGTCAACCTGCAGAGTTCGTGGGTAAGCTTTGTCTGTCGGTCCAGGTGATCATTACGAAAACGTAGCATAGAATAGTACCAATTTGGGGCTTTCTTATGTTTCCAAATTAATTTTTCTGTGCAATCATCATCATCTTCGTTGATGAGTCCGTGCCATTCTTGGGTTGGAACTGTATTCGCTTTCACGAATGCCATAGCAATAGCAAGAGCCATACAGGTGTTATCCTGATTGTTAATCTTTAAAATCGATCTTTTTCTTGCACCAGAACAATAAGGTCCTGTAAGATGTTGAATGGCACGCCCTCGACCTCCTGTATTTAAAATTAAAAATAAAATTAGATAATTAAACGCTGAAAATGACGAAAGAGGCAATGTCAAAGTGGTCTAAAAATTGGTATTTTTCTTATGACCTTTAGAGGATTTACGGTATAATGATATGGATTTGAGATATATGTATGAAGACAATAAGAACTTAAATTATATCGTATGGTCTTATTTAAAAAAACGATTTTCAGACATTCCACGTTCAAGGGTATATTCTTTTTAAATATCCGAGACAAAGACGAAATGTGTGTGGATTATTTCTTTTTCTGTGGTGTGACGGATGTTTTAATGAACACTATTTAAGAATTCCAAGGTAGGCAGATTTAACTAGACTCAAAACTGTAGAACAATGTCCCATTTGTTTAGAAAATAAGGTGAAAAGTGATTTGAAATGTCAGCAATGTCGTCAGATTTTTTGCTGTAGACAGTGTTATAGGGGACTTGCCACCATACCAAATCAGCGATGTCCTATATGTCGTCATCAATAATAAAATTATGAATTTTTTTTTTTATTTTAGTGTGTTTGTTTATATACACATATACCTACCAGAAGGTACTTCTATTGTACCAATGTCTACATAAAAACTTCCATCTAGGGGCATGCCCTCATGACTGGTTAAAACATGATTAATATGATCCATTATCACCTCTGAAGTCATTCCTCCGACTTTTTGTAATGGCACGAATATTGGAGTAGTTAGAGTGTCAGAATGAATAATAACACGAATTAAATCAGTGTCATTGAGATTTTGTGTAGATTGTTCCAAAGTAGAACTAAACAAGTTTGACAGTTGATCTTGGACATCTTTAACTTTCATTTTAGATTGAGCCACCTCTGAATTCAATTTGACGACGTAATATCGATCGATGGCTTTATTTTTCTTGAAAGTTTTCTCATTTAATTTGGTAAATGAATATCCGAGAGACTTTGAAGTTTGATCACTGGAACCTCCTTCAGTTTGGGTTTGATGTAACTCTTCGTGAAATCGAAATAATTCTTCATTATCACAAAATTCGGCCCCACACCATCTGCATTTTTGAATAAGCTGGGAATCTTCGGGTTGTTTTGCATTGCTTTTTTTCAATTTAGCTGGAATAAGTTAATTTAATTCCTCGATTCTTTCATGGGTATATTTATGAAAGCGATACGCAGCATCATTCTCAAAACTTCTGGAACAGTAAGGACATTGAAATGCCATCTTTTTTTTCCACCCTACAAAAATAAAATACATAAATAAATGAACTTTTTTTTTTTGTTTAATTGGCCGCCGCCGCCTCATCCCCCCCCCCCCCCTTTACGTATAGGTAGATCTTATTTGGAATGGGTAGATCTTTTTGATATGGGATTGCGTGTTAGAATGGGATATCTAGTTTTTCTAAAAAAAAAATTAGTGTGATGCTCTCTCTCTCTCTCTCTCTTATCTATAATACGCATTATCATTATATTTAGGTGACCTTTTACTGGGTCATTCTCAGTTTTTTTTTAGACTCGTCCGATCTTTTTAGGTCTTTCCACCTTTCTGTGGAAAGACCTATTGATATTCTTCTGTTTATTATTATTATTATTAAGGTCTTCCGTTTCAGACGGAAGACCTTATAGTGATTCTACTGTTTCTTTTTATTATTATTTTTTTTTTCCCCTTTTCTTGTAAATCGGATTTCTCAGAGATGGCTGGACGGATTTTCCTGAAATTTTCAGGGATGATAGAGAATGAAAATACGCTCAGGCGTTTTTTTCATTTTTTCAAAATTCACTTCCGGTCGTCAGTTATGTCCGATTTCCGCTTTTTTCAAAAAAGTTTTGTCCGAGTCATATCTCATAAACGGTAAAAGATGAAGACACCAAACTTATATGAGTAATAGATCTTGATAATTAGGCAAAACCAATCGGGTTAACATCGTGCGCCGTCACTTCCGGTCGTCACAGGAAGTGATCAAAGAAATCGAAAATTTCAACTTTTTATTTTTTGAAACTTTTTTGCATCACATTATAGCATCTTGTTTGTAGTTTCGAAATATATCAGTCTCACTGGAAACAAAAACGACAACTTCCGGTTATAAGAGAAGAACTGCATATTTTCAGTATTTTTCTCTCCCATAAATATTTTTTATGCGTAATGTATTTGAAATGGTTTCTAGATATGTTATTCAGACTGCAAATGTCTACAGTAACGTCAAATATCCTTGTAAAATTTACTTCCGGTCGCCTGGTTTCCTGTCCTCAAAATGAGAAGTTATTATAGCTAGATCTCGTAAACGGTAAGAGATAAAGACACCAAACTTAAAGGAGAGATAGATCTTGATGAGTATGCAAAAACAATTTGGATAAGATTGTTCGCCGTCACTTCCGGTCGTCACAGGAAGTGATCAAAGAAATTAAAAAAATCAATTTTTCTTTTATGAAACTTATTTTGCATCAAATTAAAGCATCTTCTTTGTAGTTTTGAAATGTAGCAGTCTCACCGGAAACAAAAACGACAACTTCCGGTTATAAGAGAAAAACTGCATAGTTTGAGCATTTTTCTTTCCTATAAATATCTTTTATACAAAAACCATTTGTAATGATTTTTGGATATGTTATATAAACTGCTAATGTCTACAGTAACTTCCAATATCTTTATGAAATTCACTTCCGGTCGCGTGATTTCCTGTCCTCAAAATGAGAAGTTATCACAGCTAGATCTCAAAAACGGTAAGAGATTAAGACACCAAACTTATGAAATAATAGATCTTGATAAGTTGGGGAATTCCTTGTTATTATTATTATTTTTTTTTCCCTTTTCGTGTCCCCCTCGATTTCTCAGAGATGGCTGGACGGATTTTCTTGAAATTTTCAGGGATAATAGAGAATGAAAATACCCCCAGGCGTTTTTTTCATTTTTTCAAAATTCACTTCCGGTCGTCAGATATCTCCGATTTCCGTCTTTTTAAAAAATATTTTGTCCCAGTCATATCTCAGAAACGGTAAGAGATTAAGACACCAAACTCTAATGGTTAATAGATCTTGAGGAGTAGGCAAAACCATTTTGGATAAGAGCGTCAGCCGTCACTTCCGGTCGTCACAGGAAGTGATAATAGAAATAAAAAATTTCAACTTTTCTTTTTTGAATCTTTTTTTGCATCACGTTATTGCATTTTATTTGTAGTTTCGAAATATGTCAGTCCCACCGGAAACAAAAACGACAACTTCCGGTTATAAGAGAAAAACTACATAATTTGGGTATTTTTCTTTCCCATAAATATTTTTTATAGATGACGTATTTGAACTGATTTTTACTTATGTTATTAGGACTGCAAATGTCTAGAGTAACGTCAAAAATCTTTGTAAAATTCACTTCCGGTCGCGCGTTTAAATGTCCGCAAAATGAGAACTTGTCCGAGTGAGATCTCAGAAACTGTAAGAGATTTAGATACCAAACTGAAAGGAGTATTAGACCTTGAGGAGTAGACAAAACCATTTGGGAGAAGAGCGTCGGCCTTCACTTCCGGTCGTCACAGGAAGTGATCAAAGAAATCAAAAATTTCAACTTTTCTCTTTTGGAATAAGACTTGCATCACATAATTGTATCTTTTCCACAGTTACGATATGTGTTGGTCGCACCGGAAACAAAAAGTGAAAACTTCCGGTTATAAGAGAAAAACTACATAATAGGGGTTTTGAATTTTCCCCAACATATCGCTTATAGATAGAGTTCTTCAAATGTGTTTTAAATATGTTATTGAGACTGCAGATGTCTAGAGTGACATGAAATATCTTATTAAAATTCACTTCCGATCGCGTGTTTTCTTGTCCTCAAAATGGAAAGTTATTTAAGCGAGATCTCGGAAACGGCATGAAAGGAAGACACCAAACTTATAGGAGTAATAAAACTTCGTGAGAAGGCAAAACACATAGGGTTAAAAGCGTCAGCCGTCACTTCCGGTCGTCACAGGAAGTGATCGAAGAAATCGAAAATTTTAACTTTTCTTTTTAAAATTAAAACTTTCATCACTTTATTGCCTCCCTTTCGCTATTTTGAAATATGTTAGATTCCACCGGAAAAAAACTTTAAACTTCCGGTTTTAAGAGATAAACTACGTTATTTCGTGGTTTAACTTTCTCATAAATATCACTTATAGATAAGTATTTGAAATGTTTTTTCCATATGCTGTAGATACTGCAAAAGTCAAGAGAAAATTCAGAGCTTTATATTCAGTTCACTTCCGGTCGTGTGTTTTCCTGTCCTCAGAATTTGAATTTGTTCTCACAATTGTTCGGCAACAGTAAAAGACTGAAGTCTAAAGCTTTCAGGACTTATAGTCAGTCAACAGTTCATTTGCTTCGTGTAAAAATCGTGTGTCGTCATTACTTTCGGTCGTGACAGGAAACGAAGCAAAAAAGTATTTTTTTAAGTTATTTTGTTTCTACATAAGTTTTAGGCTAATACCGACGTTGGAAAAGACATGTTCATGCAAACAGGAAGTAGTGTAACGGAAGACCTTCTCATTACTAGTAATGAGTTTCTAGTTATTATTATTATTATTATTATTTTTCCACCCCCTGATGTGATTCTATGTTTCAAGATCTATCGAAAAGATTTATAGTCTATAAGAATGTACTCTTTAAAAGATTTTTACAGTTGACCCTGAGTATATGAACTTTGACCCCTCCAAGAGTTATTACCCCTTTGGCAATAAAAGCTTGTTATCGCTACTCCTTCGAAACCGTAAACCGTAGAGGTACGAAACCTTCACCAATGTCTTCGGCTAATTGAGGGGACTTTTCAATCTTTTCATTGCGAAAGTATTCGTGGACCCCTTTTATGAGTTATTGCCCCTGAAAGTTTTTGAAGTTTACAAATAATAATTTTTTTTCAAAACGATAAGTCTTAGAGACATGAAACCAACTGGATAAGATTCTTTGACCTCAGACCTTGAAATTTATGTCAAGGTCAAAGGTCAAGGTCATTCAAAATATGAGAAATTAAGCTCTTTTTATATCTCTTTTGTCTTTCAATTTATACTAAGTATCTTTGCATCATTAATATGTCCTCTTAAAACTATTTCAAAGATTTCATACTTGTCCCCTAAGATTGACCCCTTTAAAAGTTATTGCCCCTTTTACTGAAAACCTTGTTATCGCTACTCCTCCTAAACCGTAAACCGTAGAGACACAAAACCTTCACCAACGTCTTCAGGATCTTTAGACACAACTTCAGTCTATTCAGTGCGAAAGTATCCGATGACCCCTTATATGAGTTATAGCCCTTTAACGTCTTTGCGCTTACTATTAAACCTTATAACTTTAAAACTAAAAGTCATAGAAGCATAGGGTCAAGTGCAATGTGACCCTTGACCTTTGACCTTGAATATTTGTTCAAGGTCAAAGGTCAAGGTCATTTCAAAATTTTTAAATTTTCATTTTTTCTATCTTTCAAGCCATTTATGGATTCTTTTTCTATAAAAATTAACTTCAGAGAGTAAAATATGAAAAATATATGAAATTTAAAGAAGGTGGAAAGACCTCTAATTGTTCGAGAACAATTAGTCTACTAGTTTATTTTTATTTTTTTGATACAGCAGCGGTGTCTTTGATGTTATCATTCCCCCCATCCTTTATTGTACTAGACTCGTCTTTTATAGTACTTTTTTTTGGACTATTCAATTTCTGTACCCGTGAGACATTTCACTTTCAACATGGCAGCCAGTGTAGCAGTAGTGCTCTTGGTTATTATGCTTTTTCAAACTGTGATTAGTGAATTTTGCAGAAGTTGCAACTTTTTGTTGCGCTTCCGACTTTGCAAGTTGTAGAGGGGAGTGCAGCTGCATCCGCTTCTCTTACGCGGTGATCCAACGGCGTGTCTTACATATAGAGTTTTCCGCGGGGATACATCGAATTGTGTATGATTCAGATGAGCTCACCATCATTGACAGTGGTTTCTT